TTACTACTGCTCCCCTTCAGACCCTGCACATGGACGTTTGGGGCCCAGCCCCCGTCCCCGGACCGCGCGTTGAGCACTACTTTCTTGTGTTCGTCAACGACTACACGCACTACACCACAGTGTTTCCCCTGGAGCGGAAGGCCGACATGCTTGACGTTCTACTCCCGTGGGTTGTGGCTGCGCGTTTTCACTGCGGTCTCCCCGTGTTGTGTCTCCACTCTGACTGTGGCGGCGAGTTCGCCTCTGGTCGGCTTGGCCAGTTCTGTCATGCAGAGGGCATCACCCAGTCGTACACCTTGCCGGACTCGCCACAACAGAATGGGGTTTCTGAGCGCCGCATCGGCTTGGTCATGGACGTTGCTCGTACCTCCATGATTCATACCGATGCACCCCATTTTCTGTGGCCGTTCGCTGTTCGCTAAGTTGCTCACCAGCTTAACTTGTGGCCACGCTCCCAGCGGCCGCAGGTTTCGCCGACCGTCCTTTGGACCGGGTCCCCCGGTGACGCGTCTGCATTCCACGTCTGGGGTTGCCTTGCTCACGTTCGTGCTTCTAGCACGGACAAGCTCAACACCCGCACTGTCCCCTGTGTCTTCCTCGGTTTCCCCCTGGACTCGTCTGACTGGCTCTTCTACCACCCGCAGTCTCACCGCTTCCTTCACTCTCGTGACGTCACCTTTGACGAGTCTGTCTCCTTCTTCGGTCGCTTCCCTCACCGAGGTCTCCCAGTTTCTCCCCCCCCTTTTCCTTGCTCCCTCTCCCCCGGTAGCCACTGCTCCCCTCTGCCTCGTCCTGTCCCGTCTGGTGTCTCGCATGTCACTCCCTTCCCATCGGTTGTCCCCGTTGAGGAGTCTGCTGACTCTGGTGGTCCCCCCGGCTCGTCCTTGCCACGTCTCCCTTCCCCGGTGTCTCCGCCTCCACTGTCGCAGACGCCGCCGCCGTCGCAGCCGCTGCTGCCGCTCTTGGCCTCTGGGGGTACTGGCGTTGAGGAGAGTGTTCGTTCTGCGGCTCCTGGCATGGTCTGTCCCGGCGGGCCTGGAGGTGCCACTGGTGCTGGAGGGGGTTCTTGCTCTGGGGGTGGTGGTTCTGGGGGTGCAGCCGTTGAGTGTTCTCCCACCGGTCGTCATGCCCCTGCCGGTCCGCGGGTCAAGACCTTGCCGCCGCAGCAGCCGCCGCAGCCATCGTCGCCGGTCTCCGATCTTTGCCTGCTCGGCCGTCCCTCCCCTGACCGCTTGCCGGTGTCTCCCCCACTACCTTCTCACCTTCCTGTCTACGGCCCTGTGTTCCCGCCCCCGGACTCTTCTCCGGCCCGTCTTCCTCCTCGTTCCCCTTTTGTGTCCCCTCCGCTGTCTCCTGACCCAACACCTCCGTCCCACGTTTGGTCTCGCCGTCCCTCACGTGCTCGTCCCGTCTCTCCTGTCCTGCGCTCCCACCCTATGTTGCTCCATTCCCACTCGTCTCGTCCTCCCCTCCTCCCCTCGCCTCCTCCCTCGTCGCTTGTTGTTGCACCTCCCCAGCTGTCTGACTACATCTGTGCCGCTCGTCCCCTTGTCCCTCGGGTCCTTACCTCTCTTGTTACAGACCCGTCTGTTCCTGTCTCGCGCCTTGACGCGCTTGTCGCTGCTGTCGCTGACTTCGTCTCTACCCGCCGCCTTGATTACGCTACCGCTCTGGTCTCTGACCCTGCCTGTCCTCCATCCGTTGGGGGTGCACCTGCCCTTGGCAGTGACGTTCTAGAGGACAGGCAGCACGAGCTTGCTTTCCTTTCCGAGGCCACTCCCCATCTCTGCTCCATGCTGTTAGTCCCAGAGGGTGACCGAGACGCCTTCGACATCCCGACCCCTCGCACCTACGCTGAGGCCACCTCGGGACCCTGGGCCTCTCAGTGGATAGCTGCCATGGAGCAGGAGATGGCATGTTGGAGGTCCACCGGCACTTACGTCGACGCAGTTCCCCCACCTGGGGTGAACGTAGTCGATGGTCGGTGGCTCTTCAAGGTGAAGCGCCCCCCTGGAGAGCCGTCTGTCTTCAAGGCGCGCTACGTGGCTAGAGGCTTCAGCCAGCGCGAGGGGGTGGACTTCTTCCAGACTTTCGCCCCGACCCTGAAGATGACTACTCTTCGGGCACTGCTACACGTAGCAGCACAGCTCGACTACGAGCTTCACTCCCTCGACTTCTCTACTACCTTTCTTCAGGGCAGCCTACACGAGCAGGTCTACCTACGCCGACGACAGGGCTTCACTGGTACCTTCCCCCCTGGGACCCAGTGGCTTCTCAGGCGCCCGGTCTACGGCCTGCGCCAGGCTCCCCGCGAGTGGCACGACACGCTGCGTGCCATGCTAGCAGACCTGCAGTTCTTTTCCGTCCTCTGCTAATCCCTCACTTTTTGTGCGTTCCGGCCAGACTCTGTTCTACATCCTTATCTACGTAGACGACCTGGTCTTCGCTACTGCTGACAGGGACGTAGTGGCCTTCGTGAAGGCCGAGCTGCTGAAGAGACACACTTGCACTGACCTTGGAGAGCTGCGTCGCTATCTCGGCATGCAGATCTCCAGGGACAGAGCAGCACGCACCATCACTCTGACACAGTCACACTTGGTGCATCAGGTCCTTCAGAGGTTCGATCTTCAGTTCTCCTCCGCACAGCCCACACCTCTACCTGGAGACCATGGGCTCTCCGCTCCCGTTCCTGAGGAGCCAGTAGATTCCAGCGGCCCCTACGCAGAGCTGGTGGGTTGCCACATGTACCTGATGACTTGCACTCCCCCAGATGTCACATACCCTCCAAGCATCCTGGCTCGCTTTGTGGCCACCGGCAAACATCGATCACAGCACTTGTCGGCCGCTAAGAGGGTTTTGCGATATCTCGCAAGTACATCGGGCATGGGGTTAGTGCTTGGAGGACGCAGACCAGTGGTTCTCACAGGGCACACAGACGCTTCTTGGGCAGACGACCCTGAGACTCTTAGGTCGTCTCAGGGCTACTGTTTTAGCCTTTGTTCGGGTGCTATCTCTTGGAGATCCACTTGCTTGTTGCCTTTTGCATTGTGATTAGTGAAAAGGGTTGTAACAAGTGGAACGCAACTTTCCAGCAGAAACGATACTTGCGAGATCAGCAGTCCCACGTAGCGAAAGGAAAACAGTGACTCATGCGGCGATCGTCGAGATTCGCTCATGCAGCCCTCGAGGAGGGACCAGGATGGATATTTTCCGCTTCCAGTGTCGCATCAGGGTGTACCTCAGTTGGCGAATGTTCGTGTGGTTAGCAGAGACTTCCTTTGAAGTTCGTGGTTTATTTTTGCTAAAACATGTAGAAACCCGCTGATGCCTAGTTCGGCGTGGGGAAACATGCAGGCATGGGGGCAATAGCGCGCGACATTGTTTGAACGCAATTGGTATCGTCATCAGGGCGACCCGAGGTTCCTAAATGAGCGGTTCACTGCTTGAGAGCGAATTCATGCGAGCGTTCCGAGCACCAGCTTCGTATCGCTCCCAGCTTGCCTTATGTTTCTGGCGTACTTGCCTAGTATTTACCTACATTACTAGCACTCGGAGATGAACCCGTTTGGGGGCTCGGATGGTGAATTTCTAGTATTATAGGTCTTTGAACGAGATTTGTTTTAAAGTTTGAGGGTAAATGACGCCAAGAAGTTATCACACCGATGCTGGAAAGGAGACGCTTAGAGTATATTGCTCTGTCCCTTCAAACCTGGAAATCCGTGATGCGGATCGAAAAATCCTAATGCTGGCGGGTGAGAACAAGAGCAAATGAGAGAGCTGGCAGGGGTGCGTGGTGTTCGGAACACTGGCAGGAATTCGCTCAGAAAAACCAATGGGGTTCGTCGCGAGCCTTGCAGTTCGCTGCGCTCTGATTCCTGTCGTCCATCCCGCTGAGAGTGATGAAGCCTAGTATGTTACCCCGTCGACGTTGCGACAGTACTTGTTGAGCCAATCGCCAGGCAGAGCTAGTGCCTGCGAAAGATGGTATTGGTAGCGAGCAGTAAATGTTCCGAGTTACCCTAACGAAGCAGCTCACACCACGAAATACGGACTCTGGTGAGCGGTCTCGTGCTGCTCCAATCACGCATCAATTCTCCCAGAGGAACGGTTTTGGCTCAACACAGGCTAAACACAAATGATTGTGCATTCGTCCGCCAGCCAGGCTACAGGCGAGGAAAAAACTGTGACGACCCAAACAGTCCAATAATTGTTGAGCCCGTCCGACAGGTAAAACCAGGTTTTTAGCCGAGTCATCTTCGCACGTAAGATTCCCACCAGGTCCCACGACCTGACGGAATGACATCATTCCCTCAGCAATTATTGTCATTGCGCCTCTCGCCTGCGAGGTCTTTGACCTACGGATGTCTCCATTTTTTAACGGATGGACACTCCTCCGTCAGTCACGCTGTCAACTGGCCGTCAGTTCTTGGGCAATAATTGTTGACGTTTCACATCTCGACGTCGCAAGGAAAAACGAAACACATTGCGACCTTCCTGGGCGCAACCGAGATTACCGAAGCGCTTCCAACACAACAGAATCCCAATGGCGACTCAAAGAACGGCTCTTGCCTCTCAGGTTCCAGGTTCACACGACGGCGTCGCTAGAGCTCTACATAATCGCCAGCTATTTCGAGCAAATCATCATTCAGTTCGTCCACAGCTCTTCTAGTAGTGCTCGATTTCCAAGGACTCAAATTCCGATTTTAGCTTTGAATCTCTCCTCTGCCACACCATTCCCTGCGATTTCCGCCTCTCTTACTCAATACCGCGCGATGGCTCATGTTTCCAAGATCAGCGGCGTGCTGTGCCTCGCATTCTTCCTGCTTGCTCTCGCCCTCACTCCCGCCAGCGCCGTATTCACCAGCTTCAGCGTGGGACTCAATGACGGAGGCGGCGCGTGCAACTACAAGGGTGACTTCCGCAACAGCACCTATTTCAACGGCGGCCTGACGGCATACATTCCTCCAAGCCAATACAACGGCGGCAAGGGCTGCGGCACGTTCTACGAGGTTTCCTGCAAGAACCACAAGAGCTGCAGGGGCGGCAGCGTGACGGTGCGCGCCGTCGGGAAGCAAGGCAACGGCGATTTCCTCCTCTCCTCGACCGCGTGGGACAAAATCGTCCGCGACCGGGCCGCGTAGAGATTAAGTACCGCGGCGTGGAGTGCCCTAGCAACGGCACCTTTGCGGTACGGGTGATGCCGGGGAGCAACCCTTACTGGTTCGCGATTCAGATTCTGGGCGTGGTGGACGCGGTGGAGAAGGTGGAGATCTCCAAGGACGCCAGCAGCTGGACGAGCCTGCGCGCCATGGGAGAGAGCGCCACATGGGTGCTGGGGTCCGGCGCTGAGAAGATCGTGGGTGTGGGGAGGACGGTGAGCGTGCGCGTCACAGAGGTGGCCCAGGCCGGGCAGCAGCTGGTGCTGCAACTTGTGAATGTGATCCCGGCCAAGTGGAGCGCCGGGACGACCTACGAGTACACCGTTATCATCTAGTAACGAGATGGCTTATAACAGGGAGGTTTGGGAAGTTGAGCGCGTGGCGGTGGGGAGCGGAGCAGGTGGGAAGACCTGCGAGAGTACCGGCAACTTCACGCTACACACAGGCGTTGAGTGGAGTCGTTTGGGGCATAAGTGGATAGTCTAGCAAGGCAGAATAAAAGTCGGAGGGCCAACCTTTGAGATGGAGTTATTGGCCGACCAACTGGTAGAGGCATTGACCTTGCACTGAATAAATGCATGCCTTGCTTATGCTGAGTCTATGCCCTGTGTGTGCAATTTCTACTTTTGACAGTGAAATTTCTTATTTCCATCAAAACTTCGGAATCAGAGGCAGCACAGCAGCACTCCACACCTTGTTATGCTTTAGTCGCTCGGTTGCACCAAGGGTCAGAGAACTTTCTGTCGATGTCATCTAAAGAAATTTGGGTCTAGGAATGGCAACTTTCAGGTGTTTTTGTGCCACTAACGGGCAAAGCACGACCGTGAACAGGCTGACTGTATACGGTGGTCTTGTTAGGACTTTAGGTATAAAAAACAGCCGGGTTGTGTACATCCCTGTACGGCCATAATCTCGCTGTGAACAATGGTATTGGTAGTCTGTTAAGGGTGCTAGATGTCAAACATATCCTTGTATGTTGTTATAGACAACGCAGGGTTGTGCCTTAGAGAGTGCAACCCACTAGGTTATATTCCCATGCCATGGTTATATTTTATTCGCTAACTTTGATATGGTATCATGAGTAGGTTAGGTCCCTCCCGCCCACCAGCGCTTCCGCAATAGGTCCTAGCCACCCCGTCGCCCTCCCCTCCGTGCTGGCCCGTCTCCTAGTGGCCCTTGTCACCTAGCGCCTAGCCGGCCCCGTCGCCTAGCCGGCCCCGTCGCCTAGCCAGTCCCTTCGCCTAGCCGGCCCCATCGCCTCGTCGGCCCTTTCGCCCAGCCGGCCCTGTCGCCTAGCTGGTCCCGTCTCCTAGCCGGCCCCGTTGCCCAGCCGGCCCCGTCGCCTAGCTGCCCCCCCCCCCCCTCCCCCCCCCAACCCCCTCCTCGCTTAGCCGGCCCCGTCACTCAGCCGGCCCCGTAGCCTAGCCGGCCCTGTCGCCTAGGCGGCCCCGTCACCTAGCCGCCTAGCCGGCCCCGTCGCCTCACCGCCCGCGGCCCCGTCTCCTAGCCGCCACGCAACCCCGTCTCCTAGCTGCCGGCGGCCCCGTCGCCTGACCGCCCTGCGGCTTGGTCGCCTGCCCGCCACGCGGCCCCTGTTGACCAGCCGCCCCGCGGCCTCACCGCCCAGCCTCCTCACGGCCCCGTCCCTCAGCTGCCCCTGGGGCTCCCACCTCGCATCATTGGCCCTTTCCACCGCACTACACGGCACTCCACCGCCCTGCACCACACAGCATTGCACTCTACCGTACTGCACCTCACTCTACTGTAGTCTATTGCACACTCTGTAGCTCAGTATAGCCCACTACCGCCTTTTTGCTGCTGCAGCGACCATGATGGCGAACTCGGTGCTTCGCTTTGACGCGGAGGGTCAGCCGGTTGAGTTCGACATGTGGCTCGTCGTCCTCTGCCGTCACCTCACTGGTCAGCGGCGGGACGGCCACTCCCTGGCCATCCACATTGATGGTATGCTCCCATGCCCTGAACCCCCTGCTGCTCTACCCGCTGGCCGCTCGTCTGCTGACCGTGAGTCCGCCGTCGCTGCTGTCCTTGCCCGTGCTGTCGAGTTGTCGCGTGATGCTGTCGCACAGCTCGTGATTAGTCATGCCCTCCCCTGGTCTGAGCGCCCCCGCTTTAGGTCAGTCAGGGCTGTGCAGGAGTTCCTAGAGGCTGTTGTCGTGCACTATTCCACCCCGCCCTCTACCTCCATCGGTCGCCTGATCCTGCCCATGCTCTTTCCTGATCTCGCGTCTTTCTCCACTGTCGCTGACCTGACCGCCCACTTGCGCACGCTAGACGCGACCTGGCGCGCTGCCTGCAGTGAGGCCCAGCTTCGTGTGTTTCAGCTCCCCATCTGCTCTACCCTCTACCTGCTTGCCACCCGCCTCCCTGACCGCCTTGCTACCGCCCGCGATCACTCTCTTAGTCTCCACCTTGCTGACCTCACCCTCACTGACTTTGTCGACACCGTGTCTGCCATAGAGACTCGTCAGCACTCTATCGCCCAGCTTAGTGGTACTGTGCCGGTCACTATCTTTCAGGGTTGTGCCCCCGCTCAGTGCACTTACTCTGATGAATCATCTGCTGTCGTTGAGACAGCCCCTGCTGCGGAGACGGTCGCCGCGGCTGCCGCAGCGCAGTTTCGTCCAAGTAAGGGTCGCCGCTCCAAGGGTGGGCACGGCGGAGGTAGCGGAGGAGGGGGTGGAGGCGGTGGTGGAGGTGGTTCGCCCACTAGTAGTACTGACGAGGGGGCTGGGACTGGTGCCGCGGAGCAGCAGCCCCAGTAGCAGCAGCAGCAGGCGCCGCAGCTGGACCAGCAGCAGCAGCTGCGGGTCGGTTGTCTCTCGCCCAAGTGGCGTGGCGCAGGTGGTGGAGGTGGTCGCAGTGGTCGTGCGTGCAGCGTGACGTCGGGTGGTGGCCCGAGTGACGGGCGCAACCAGTACCAGCTCCAGACCGGTCCTCGCCGCGGCCTCGTGTGTAGTAAGATCGGCAATACCCCCACTCGTTGTTTCAGTCGCCTAGAGGACCTGTTTCGTCTCCGCTTCGGCCCGGCGCCAGACCTACCCGACTGGCACAGTCTGCTCCACTGTGGCGTTGGGATCTTTGATATGGACATGGACGAGATTAGCTCTCCTTTGTATGTGCTGTATGTCAATGACTCTAGTGTGACTGTTTCCTATTACCCCTTGCCTAGTGTAGGTGTGACTAGTTCAGGCTCCCCTGCTGCGTCAGGCGTAGGATCCCCTGCTTTGTTTAGCCTTGGCTCCACCCTCGCTCCTCCGACCCCTGCCACTACTGTCGCGCACTCCTTCACCCTGGACTCCGGCGCTTCCCGATGTTTCTTTCGGGACTCCACTACGCTGACGCCACTTGCCGCTCCCGCCGCAGTTGCCCTTGCAAACCCTTCCTCAAGTCATGTAGTCGCCCGTAGCTCCACCACCCTTCCCTGTCCGGCGGTTCCTTCGGGCTCCCTTACAGACCTGCACATCCCCTCGTTCTCTAGGAACCTAGTTGGTGTCGGCTGCCTCCAGGACCTTGGCGTCACCACTACTTTCCCTGGTCACGAGCGGTACGCTGTCTGTACCGAGGCCGCCACTGGTGCTCCCCTCACCACGTTCCCCCTGGACCCGGTGTCTGTCCTGTTCACGCTGGACACAGCGCCCCCCCCCCGGTTGGGACGTCCCCCCAGGTGTCTGCGTCTACCCAGGTTGCTACGGCTTGCTCGTGTCCGTCGCTTACTCACTCGACGCTCATGTGGCTCCACCGTCTAGGTCACCCTGCCCTCCCACGTCTTCATCACATGTCTCATCACGGTCTTGTCTTAGGTCTTACTGAGTCATTCCCTGCGTTACCCTCCTCACCAGCGCCGCTGTGCACACCCTGCGTCGAGGGCCGGCTCCGCCGTGCTCCTCACTCCTCCTCTTTCCCTACCACCGCCGCACCGCTGCAGACCCTGCACATGGACGTCTAGGGCCCCGCCCCCGTCCATGGGCCGCGTCGAGAGCGCTACTTCCTCGTGCTTGTCGACGACTACACGCGCTACACCACGGTGTTTCCCCTGGAGCGGAAGGCCGACGTGCCTGACGTTCTTATCCCGTGGCTTGTGTCTGCGCGTGTTCACCGAGGTCTCCCTGTGTTGCGTCTTCACTCCGACCGTGGTGGCGAGTTTGCCTCTTGCTTCCTTGGTCGCTTCTATCGTGCGGAGGGCATCACCCAGACGTTCACCCTGCCGGACTCCCCGCAGCAGAATGGGGTTGCTGAGCAACGCATCGGTTTGGTCATGGAGGTGGCTCGTACCTCCATGATCCATGTCGGTGCACCACAATTTTTGTGGCCGTTCGCGGTTCGCTACGCCACTCACCAGCTTAACATGTGGCTGCACCCTCAACAGCCGCAGGTTTCGTCGACCCTTCTCTGGACCGGGTCCCCTGGTGACGAGTCTGCGTTTCACGTTTGGGGCTGCCTTGCTCACGTTCGTGCCTCTGGCATGGACAAGCTCACTGCCCGCACCGTCCCCTGTGTCTTTCAGTCCTGTGTCCCCTGTGTCCCATCTCACCGCCTCTTTCACTCCTGCGACGTCACCTTTGACGAGTCCGTCTCCTTCTACCACCACTTTCCCCACCGTGGTCCCCCGGTTACCCACCCCCTGTTCTTGGTTCCCCCTCCCCCGGTTGCCCTGGCTCCCCCCCCTCCCCTCCCTGCCCCGTTTGGTGTGTCTCATGTCACCCCTCTCCCGTCGGGTGTCTCTGCCGAGGAGTCTGCTGACTCTCGCGGCTCTGCGAAACTCCCTTCCCCCGCCCCTCCCCCCCCTGGTCTCTTGTTCCCCGTCACCGCCATTGTTGTCACTGCCGCAGCCGCCTCCGATGCAGCCGTCACCGCCGCGGCCACAGCCGCCGTCGTTACCGCCGCTGGGGTTCCTGCGTTCTGGGGGTGCAATGGAGCATGCTGGAGCGGGTACTGGAGCGGGTTCCCGTTCTGGGGGTGCTGGCATGGAGCTTCTCGGAGGGAGCCGTGCTGTCGCTAGGGGTTCTGGTGTTGGAGTCGGGCAGCAGTCGCAGCAGTCGCCGCCGTTGTCCGCTCTTCGCCTCCTCAGACTTCCTTCCCTTGACTGCCTGTCAGTGCCTCCTCCTTTGCCGCCGCCTCCTCCTCTGCCGGTCTACGGCCATGCGTTTCCTCGCCCGGACTCCTCTCCGGCTCGTTTCCCTCCCCATTCTCCTCCTATGTATCCTCCCTTCTCTCCTAAGCCGACTCCTCACTCTCACATCTGGTCTCGTCGTCCGTCTCGTGCTCTCCCCTGTTCAGCGGTCTCACCCTATATTGCTTCGCTCCCGCGCGTCTCGTGCTCCTCCGCTCCTCCTGTCTCCTCCTCCGTCGTCACTTGCTGTGGCTCCGCCCGTGTTCTCTGACTTCCTCTGTGCTGCACGTCCCCTTGTTCCTCGTGTCCTTGCCTCTCTTGTTACACACTCGTCTGTTCCTGTCTCGAG